TTATGCTATTTTATGCTATATCTTGTACTATTTTATTTATACCGTTCTCATTTAAGTTTATTTGTTTAAATAAATATGTGTATACATATATTCAGTCTCTATTTACGTATACGTTTATACTGTATATACATATATATCTGTATGCTGAATATACATATATATTTATATAGCGTGTGAATGAACATATTTGTACAACTTATACATTTATATTTAAATACTGCACATGTTTATGTTTATATTGACCGTGTCGTATTTCACAAAATCATACTAAAAACATTCGACACTCGATCACTATACTTATAAAAATAACAGGCACTTAACGCAGAGTCGGTGTTGATTTAATTTATTCTAAGGAGCCGCGTCGTTTCTCGTAAATCCGAACGCGCGCGCGCGCGCGCTCCATTTTGTCCCAAGCGTGCAAATGACACGGCGGAGAAGAGAATTTGGAAACAACTTATCGGCGAACACCCGAGAAATTTGAACGCGAAAGGAACGTTGAAATTTGGAGCCTGGATGCATGGATCGGCGATTGCATTGGTGATGGTGGTGATGGTGGTGGTGCATGCATACGTGCAACAGAAATTACACGGTTCGAATTGACGACCCGGCGCTCCACATTCTGACGCTTGCTAAATTTCAACGTTCAGCGAGCAGAGAGGGCGCCAATTCCCAATAATTATCCACTTAAATCGTAAAGTCGCGAGTAATTATGCGAGGGTGCGAGGGTTAATTTGATAATTGTATTATTCCGTTAGGAATAAATACCACCTTTCCGGAATGCAAATCTTGCAATTCGAGAAAGCTTCTTTTTTCCTCCCCCCTCCGCCCCTCCGAATTGTCCTATTTTGTTGTCGGTATTAACGATCACTGGATCGATAGATCTCGATGGATCTTCGCATATCTCGCTTTTCATACAATTTCATACAATTCCATACAATTTTTAATATTTCTTGCATTTCAGTAATTGGAGAAATCGTTTCCCTCCGATTAGGGCAATCTTAAAATCTCAAAATCTCAAGATAAATGTTTCAAGAATTTTGGAAGGTGAAATTTGTATTTTACAGATGTTTTTTTGTATTTATATTCAAAGCTATAGCAACGAAATCCCGTGTAGATCGAGTTTTCAGGCTCGAATAAAACGGTCTATTTTTTAACAACGATTCGGACATTTAGACGTATTTAATAATACAGTAAAATGGTGGAAATAATATAAAAAGAACACGGGCCGCAGCGCGCAGGGAGATTGGAAGAATAGAACGCGCTGCATTCGGCTGCATACAGGACTTGAAGTAGGGAGAAGCACGCGTCTGCCACGCTCCCCGTATACACACCTGGGGCCAGTTGGCTAGCGGAGAGGAATCTCTTCCACCCTAGGTACAAACAGTGTCCAATTATTAACAAATTATGATCGCGAAATGGGAACTCTTCCGAAAATAAAAAAAAAAGGAACGGAGATCGTTCTGGAAATGAAACTTCCTTGTTCCAGATATAATAAACGTGGAGCTGAACTATGACGCAACACGGCGTCGGCGGTTTTTTATGGTCACCCTTGGAACTCGAAGAGGCTGATCTACCTTTAAACGGGTAGCGATACAAAAAAGCAATTTTCGTTTCATTCGTTTTTTTAAACTTATCTCACAGTTGCAGAAATTCGTTTATTTAATTCCTATTTGCTAATCATAAATATGTTCATTTACAAATTAATATTTTATCGTTATATCATAATATGATTAATATTGTAATATAATATATAATATAATTAATATTACGATTAATATATTATTTAGTAATATAATATATAATATCATTAATATTACATATTATAATATATGAAATAATTAATATTGTAATATAATATATAATATCATTAATATTACATATTATAATATATGATATAATTAATATTGTAATATAATATATAATATCATTAATATTACATATTATAATATATAATATAATTAATATTACAATATAATAGTACAATATTATAATATCTAAGAACAATATATTTCCAGATACTGAAAAATCAACAATATGCTTCCGTTCGCAAAATTATTCCGGAAAAAAAGGACTGCGCAAATATTTGTTTAACTCACTGTGTATGCTACCTTTTCGCCCAGGTTTTTAACTCATTAGTGAGGGCCCAAGTGTAGTCAGGTACATAAAGATGACTCTAAACAAACAGACGTTACCGTTCCCAGTCTGATATTCTCGCTGTGGCGAAATTAACACGTATATTAAACTGTGAAGCACCGAACTGCTCAAACCAGGCCGCAGATCGTAGATTTCGGTAAATTAATGAGATCTCTTTATATTTGCTCGTAATTTCTATTCCGGTGTTTGCGTGATTACATTTTCTAAAAATTTCTTCTTAATATATAACTAGATAAATGGATAAATCGTACAAAGAAATAATTCTTTCTTTCAAATAATGCAAAATAAATATGCAAAATAAGATTATTCCATAATTATATTATTTTATATTAATCTAGTATTTCATCTTTTAAGTGTTTTAACAAATTGGAAATAATATTATAACGATCTGAGCACGGCGAAGGAAATGTTCACAATATTTTACATTGAAAAGAAATATTTTATTGGATTGGATTATGCGTCTTTTAAATTACAATCAATGCAAATTGTTCTTCTAGTAGAAGTGCGCACACCTCTTTGGCAAAACAAACATACTTAATTATGATACCGAATGAAACCTACTGCGAGAAAGGAACTTCGAATGGTTGCTTTCCAGCTGAAGCTGAAGGAACCTCCGCTTGGTTGATTTCACTTCCTTCCCGCGATATCATACAAGTTCCTCCGAAACGTATTAATTCGTGTTTTCATGAACGTACAAATTTTCATGAAATATATTGTTTCATTATATGCGCACAGCATACTGAAAAGGTAATTAATTTTCTTCATATTTATCTCTCAGCGAATGCTAGAAATAAAGAATTCGAAATAATACAATAATTTATACAGTAAATTAATTTTACTATGCGTATAGAAAATTGAAAAGATATTTCCATTTCACATTATTTTCACCAAAGGAGTAGAACTACACCTCTCAAAATTTTTATTTAACATTATTTTTACCAAAAATATTAAAGAACATTTTTTAATAACTTTTAATAGAAATTATTTTCTGCATTCTATGCCACCGAGAAGTGAATTCGGTGAACTGTGTGATAAATATCGGTGAAAATAGCGTCAACAGAAATTACACCGTACACGGATTCAATGAGCGTGCAATTCGGCCGAGTTTTTTGAAAACATTAAAGAGACTCGTTCGAGCAAACAGCCACGCGAAAAAAGGTACAAGACTAAGCGGCAGCCTGGTGCCGGTTTTGGCGCTCTCTAAAACGCCTCGACTGATGATCGTATTTGAGATAACCCGGTTAACCTCTCTAGCCCGTTATTATAATATTTGCCAAGCCAAAATATAATAATTGCTTACTTACTCGAACCCAATTACCAAAACGATCATGCGCGCCGCGGATTGCTTGTGACGATACGTATACTCCGAGCGTTCCTATCATTTGCAACATTCGACGCATTTTCGCAAATTAATATTTTCTCTCGTCGATTTTTCATTTAATATCTTTCATTTCAATTCGTCGAGAAATTCAGTTCCACTTTGAATTTCAGGTTAATGATAATAATTGATTCGTACTTAACGCTTTATTTGTCGACTGTTTTCCAATTGTTTCAAGCCAATACTTTTGAAATCGACGATAAACGATTAAGAATTTTTGCTTAAATTGTTTTCAAATTAAAATAATCTCAGCCAGATTTACTAGTAACTAGATTTATTTAATAGACAAACTAGAAGTTATTTAATTGTTCATTCGACTCGTATTCGGATAAAAATCGCTAAAACTTTTTAAATAAATATGCGTTTCTTCTTTTCACGAAACGAAATCAAATTTCAGTGATGCTTTAATGACATAATATTTATAAATTTTTATAAAAGTTTGTGTCTGATACTTCAATAATATACAATTTTAATGAAACTTTAATGATATAATATTTGAATGATACTTTAATAATATAATATTTGAATGATACTTTAATAATATAAAATTTTAATGAAACTTTAATAATAAAATATTTCAATGACACGTTAATAATAAAATATTTAAATGATACTGTAATAATATAAAATTTTAATAATACTTTAACAATATAATATTGCTTTTAGTGTTCCATAAACCTAATATTAATAACAAACCAGTCAGCATACGAACCAAAATACTGTAAAAGAAAAAACCANATTTTTCATTTAATATCTTTCATTTCAATTCGTCGAGAAATTCAGTTCCACTTTGAATTTCAGGTTAATGATAATAATTGATTCGTACTTAACGCTTTATTTGTCGACTGTTTTCCAATTGTTTCAAGCCAATACTTTTGAAATCGACGATAAACGATTAAGAATTTTTGCTTAAATTGTTTTCAAATTAAAATAATCTCAGCCAGATTTACTAGTAACAATATTTATTTAATAGACAAACTAGAAGTTATTTAATTGTTCATTCGACTCGTATTCGGATAAAAATCGCTAAAACTTTTTAAATAAATATGCGTTTGTTATTTTCACGAAACGAAATCAAATTTCAGTGATGCTTTAATGACATAATATTTATAAATTTTTATAAAAGTTTGTGTCTGATACTTCAATAATATACAATTTTAATGAAACTTTAATGATATAATATTTGAATGATACTTTAATAATATAATATTTGAATGATACTTTAATAATATAAAATTTTAATGAAACTTTAATAATAAAATATTTCAATGACACGTTAATAATAAAATATTTAAATGATACTGTAATAATATAAAATTTTAATAATACTTTAACAATATAATATTGCTTTTAGTGTTCCATAAACCTAATATTAATAACAAACCAGTCAGCATACGAACCAAAATACTGTAAAAGAAAAAACCAACAAGCCAACATAGTAAAAAAATGAATTAACAAAAAATAAAACTGTACTTTGTATACCATTTAATTACACTTCCATATAAATTGCAAATAAATATCTGCGAAGGTAACAGAATACGCTACTCAGCTCTACGTTCATCCCTCCCCCCGTCGCTATCATGATCAATCAATAGATATTTCATGTCCCATCAACAGCAGACAAGCAGTGCCAGGATACTCTTCCGCGATCCCGATCGAATCACGCATCTATTCCTCCCTGGGTGCTTTGTTAGTCCTCTCGTCATCCTCCCAGTGCTTCTCGAAATCGTTCTTAATATCGATCAGCAAGCTCTGCCTGCACAGTCTCGCGATCGTGCTCAGATCGCTCTGCTCTTTGCCGCATATCAATCGTATAAATTTACACTTGTTGACGATCTTGGCGAGCGAGCCGCCAGGCTTCTGCAGCCTCGAAGACGTTCTCGGCAGAGACTCGCAGCCTCGGCCAGCCTCTGTCAGCCGTTGGAAGATGTCAGGATCCACGTTGATCATACCGGTGCTGGCAGACTTCGCTCGATCCGACAGAGACACGTCCGATCCGCTCGACGCGTCAATCTCATCCCCTTTCCCAGCTTCCTCCACTTCAACCCTTCTCCTCCTCGCCGTCGTCGACGCTCCAGCAGACTTCTCCGGCTCGCTTCTCCCGTCTCTCTCCGTCAAATCAGCGCGAGTCACGCCTCCGGAGAAGTTCCGGTCGTCGAAGGTCGACGGCTCCATGACGGAATGGAAGAGCGGGCCGCCGCGGCGCGACAGGAAGTCCTCTTTCGCGCGGCGCATCCTCAAGGAACGCGACTCCAAGGTCAGCTCCTCGGAGATCGAGCTGCGACCGTCCCTCTTGGCCACCACGCTCGACAGGATCTGCAGCTTGTGCATCAGATCCGAGGAGTTCGGGTCGAAGGATCCATCGGCCCTCTTCTCCTGCCGTTTCCCCGCGATCGACGATCGATCCTCCAGCTTCTCCGGAACTTCCTTCGCCTCTTCCGACAACGTCGCGCCCTGCGGACGATCCAGTCTCGATTCCCGGAACACGTCGGTCTCGCTGGTCAACGACGACGCTCTCTTGCTCTTGTACGCGATTTCCGGACCGTCCCTAGGCGCCTTCGACTCGTGGTCCTTCGACGACGAGCCCAACGGCCACGGAAGCGAGAACGACATCCGCGTCAGCATGTCCGGACGATTTATCTTCGGCGACGTCGATCTCGACTTCGCGATCGTCTTCAGGGAGTACGCCTGGTCGCTGTCCGAGCTGTTGCTGTTCTTGCGACGAGAGTTGTAGTCCTCCTCCCGCCGGAACGGCGAGAAGATCATGCGCTTCGTTTTCATCAGCACGTTTCGCGTCGGCGAGTACTGCTTCTTCGGCTTCTCGGCGATCGCCGGCTCCTCGATCGCGCGTCCAGCGTCGTTGTTCAAGGCTCGGGGGTCGTCGATCGTGGATCCAGGATCGTGGATATGTGCCGCATCGATTTCCGCTGGGACGTCGATCGATCGATGTAAGGCTTTCGAGCTTCCTGTGCAGCCTTTGACGGCCGAAAGAGCCGTCGACTTCGGACGAGCGTCCTCGTTTATTGTTGGAGGAGTGGCTCGCGTTGTTTGGTTGCGATTGTAGTCGCCGTTGCAGGGACTTTTTGACGGTGAGATGGGCGTTGATGTTGTTTCAAGTTTCCGTTGTTTCAGCTGGTCCGATGACAGTTTCGATTTGATCGGCGTCGCGGCCTCTGGGCTTTTGTTTCGGCCTCCAGGGCTTAGACGTTTCGCGTGCGACTCGAACGGGATTCGCTCGAACACGCTCGATTTGATTTTGAACAGATTGAACGGCTTAGAGAGATTCGGGGAGGGGTCTTCGTTTTCTTGGTTCGCGTGGCGTAGGTTCTCGTAGTTGGCACTTTCTGCGAATCAGTGGACAGTTTTAATTAGTCTTGAGTGGAGACGTTGAAGATCTTGGACAATTATTGTTTGCATCGTTGGGGTATATTTATGCGTGAAATTTGGTGATTTTGTTTTCAAGCTTTAGATACTTCGGCGTATTTGAAAAGCATAATAATCCATAATTTATTGGTAACAATCTTGATATTTCTTTGCCGAAAAGTTTGTGATATTGT